TGTCTGCGGGGGGGGGGGGGGGTAAATTTTGACGGCGTTAAGGGGTGGTAAATTTTGATTAATTTAAGTCGGGAGGGCTGCATGAGAAGCTTGCAGTAAGCCGAAGATCGTGTCAATATTATTTTAATTTGTAGACCGTACCGCGAAGAAAACACATGACGTTAAGGTTACAAAGATCAACTGATTAATGATGTTCAGTAAGCTAATCCATGTTTACGAATTGAATCATGGGAAAACCATGCAGACTGCGCAGTTACCGATCGTTAAACCAGGTGGTATATATAGTTACTACTGAACTGTAAAGGGCTCAACGTCTTTTAGGGTTGAAAATCCAGACTTTTAATTTTTTTTTATTTTCAAAACCGGGATATAGAGTGTTTTATCGGTTAAGTTTTTTCGCCGATAATTCGCTTGGCTTTGTGGCGAAGCAAACGGGAAACAGAGCTAAATGGAATCGGCTTTGCAGTTGCGCAGAGACACATATTTCGACGTCCTCTCGAGCACCGAAGACATGTGCAGATCCCGAGTGGAATCTTATGGATGGTTTTGGCCTGTGGCTGACGGGCTAGTTTGCATTGCTGCCAAGCAAACACCAAACTCAAATAACTTATTTAAATAACGACAAATCGTTCAGTATCACAGTTCGTGAATCTCCTTTTTTCACAATGGTTTTGATTAACCTGTGGTTAAGCGACCGATGTACAGCGTGCCCCATAAGTTCGCGACGATAGAGGAAAGTGTAAAATGTCGTGTTCACTTCATAACAACGGTCGTTTAACTACGGGCTGGGGTGTCAGAAGTCGTACGGGGTCTGTATTTTGAATCAGCTTAATTTCTGCAATCGGGTTAATTTTTAAGTTTAATTGATGAGAAATACATATTAAATATTGTTTGGAGCTTACTGAACGGAAGAAAAACCAATTGGGTGAGACGCTTAGGATAATATTAAAATTGATCGTGAAGACCTATATTATTAAAATGTGGTTCCTTGCGTAGTTACAATTGTGCTTTAAAGTACAGAATTAAAATGTAGACAATAAACTTTTGGACAACCAGTGGTACAAACAAGGCATTCAGCGTAATTTTCATCTAATTTTAAGGGTACGTCTTTTAATACGAGGTGCGATCGGAAGGTTTCCAGACTGCGCGTATAAAAACCCGTACACTTATCTCAGGTATTAAATTCATCCATCACCCTCGAAGTAGTTCCCCTGGGAGTGAACACAACGATCCCAGCGCCGCTGCCAAGCCTGGAAGCATCCCTGGAAATCTTTCTTTGTCAGCCTGTCAAGCACCATCTGCGATTCTGCCTGAATCT